CTGTACAGAAAAGTATTTCCCAGCAAAAGAGCAGCTCGGTTGTATTGTGTTTTGATTTGGCTGATTTCCATTTTTCTGGCAATACCTTTTCTTTTTGGATGGTTAGGTGTATCATTTCATGAGAAACTTGTTATTTGTGTCCCAGAGAACAATGTATACAAAAACACTAGTACAGGAGTGATTGTCAACGGACTTACGATCATGATATTTTATTGTAACTTCAAAATCTATAAAGCTGTCAGAGAAAGCACGAGAAATTTAAACGCTCACGCTGAAGGAAACGGAGTCCGCTCCGCAAATGATTCTCGCCGCTCCAATATGACTGACGTGAGTGTTTTAAAGACGTGTTTCACCGTAGCGTGTTTCTTTGTGGTAACATGGTCTCCAATCTCCATTATCGCCGTCATTTGGACCTTTGGGTTTGATATTCCTCAAAAATTTTATACAACAAGTGTTTACCTGGCGTTCTCCGGTAGCCTGGTAAATCCAATTATATATGGATTTATTAATCCGCAGTTCAAAGTGGCTTTCAAAAAGGCACTGAGTTTTAGTCGCTTTAGTAGCGTGAACACAGATCAGAATCACTCAAGGAATGGAGTAAGACACGAGGTTGCAAAACGATTAGGGACTGCGGCATAATGGAGATTTGTTTTATTTTCTAGCCTGAACCGTACTCGCAACTTCCATTTCTTCTTTACTACTTCAGTACCATATATCACAGGTCTCGATAAAGCTTTCTTGAGGCAGGTATACATCGCTATCGGAATTTATTTTAAGAGCATTTTAACGTTGACTGCAACAAAATAACAAGAGATGTGAGAGATTTGTTGGTGTCAATTGAGGGATTTCACAGTATCCCACGTCATCGCCAGGCAACTCGTTATCAGTCTAACTCATTAAGACAAAATAAGGGGACTATAGGGCCTGAAAAAAAACCGAGTTTTGATATTTTTTGAAATTTTTTTGTCATAGGCACATTAAGTTAGAAGTCCTTTTTTCTATCAATAATAGAGCTTCTTATTATTGGGATAACACGCAGACGTTTTTAATTTAGGATATGAATATTAGTATCCATTTGATAGTTGTCTGCAGAATTAAAGTGGAGCAAGAAGCAAACATGTCATTTTTGAATTCGTATTGCCTTTCCTGAAGTTTACTTTTTTTTTATCATCATTATTCAAATATTTATAAAGCTCGTGAGACAAAATC